GGACACAAGAGGCATCTTCCAAGGATTCTAAAGGGCCAACATAAAGGAAAACAACCAGGGAAAGAAAGGGCACAGGTGGAGGAGCGAAGATAGCTCCTAAATACTTTTGGAATAAATTAGTTGAAATATTGGAACCACCACCTCCAACAGTTGGGGCATTGTTTCTAAAAGGAGTCTGTCAAGGTATCTGTTGAGGGCAACTTGGGACTCAGCTACATTGCTAAAGAAAAAGTGCTTTATATGTGTTGTTTATGAATTCTAACACTGATACCAGATGGTGCTGTGGAGTTCCTTTTTTGCCAACCCGGTTTCCCATACAAAGTTTAACTGAAACGCTTTGTTGATGTGTCTAGATCCAGCCTCGGTAACTGGATAACCCTTACTGTGGTATTGTTAACAAAGTCTTATAAAAACAGACATAATAAAAAGCACCTCTGTCTTCACTTTACTCATTATGCATAAAAGGGGCCTGCCTGAGAAGCTGAGGACCAGTGATGATTGCTAGCTGAAACGGAAGTGATACAGTTCTAAAAAGGGACAGCATGGGATTCAATTAGCACGTACTTTATACAACTTTTGAATGATTTAAAAAAACCTGCTTCTGGTCTAAATATATCTTACATTTAAAACACTGAGCTGGTTTGTGTGATACATTAAGCCAAACCTTAGTTCCGCAAGATCATGCAAAGATTTGCTCTTGCAGGGGTGCCAACTTGAATAAAATGGGGGGGGCTAGTAAGCGGCGCCCCACATAATCATATGACACAACAACACACACACCATTTGAATGGCAATGCCCGTTAACTTGGGGCGGGGCCCTCAAATATTTTATTGGGGGAGCTATGTCTCCTTTATTGGCTCCTATGGCTCTTGGCTACAGCTTGCTATCAATGAGAGGAGTGCTTAACCACTAGTCCTGGTTAGGATGATACACATATCCAAACCTTGGCTTGGCTTAGCACAGCATCGGAAAGTACCAGTGGGGAGGAAAGCTGCTGCAAGATCCTCTCTGGGAGCTTGAACACTTGCACAGCCTCACTAAACTAAGGTTGGGCTTAGCACGTCACCTGACCCAGGCCACTGTCACGCTTAGATTTTTTAAGCTCGGTTTGTGTGCAGTGCTAAAACTCTGGCATAGCACAAGTTTGTGAGCCTCTGGGTTCCCGGAGAGGAGATCAAGGCCAGTTTGCTGTTCTGGTCCTGCTGTGCTGCTGTAACCTAAGCCATGGTTTGACTTAGCATGTCATCTGAACCCAGGCTCATGGTTTCTTCCCTCCAGACAAACTATGAGCTACAAACTGAGAACAAACCTTGATTACAACTCGTTGTTTGAAGCAAGATAGCTACTAGCCTGCATGCAGGCAGCATACTGAGCCACAAACCATGGCTTAGCTCACAGCAGCAGGACTGGAGGAGGACCAAAATGGCCTTCATGTGTTCATGCTAAAACGTGGCTTGCAAATAATTAAATTAACTTTTAAAAAATTAAATCAAGAAATGCAGCAGTTTCCCCTTATCCCTTAGTTCTGGTCCTGTGACCAGTAGGCACCAGTGGGGATGCATTGCTTTTCCGGCTTCCCAGCACTATATTTTGCTGCTGTTTAGCAAGAGGAGGAGGGACAAAGCAGCAGGGAGCATCACAGTGTGGGCCACTGCTGCCTATAACTCTGCTCTTTGTTTGAACAGCACAAAAAGCCAGTTGTAATCCTATGGGGGCAAAAGTTCTTACCTACCTTCCTTGTTGCTCTTCTTATTTAAAGAATGATATTTATCACTGCTTCCAGAGCTAAGTGTTTCGTTTTTCCATTCAGATGCTGGGAGTGAAATAGAGGGGGATCCTTAAAGGTGGCAGTGGGGACAAAAGCCAGGCTTATTTATCAAAATAAATCACATTGTTTTCAGAGGTGAAATAGAGACACTTGATGTCAGTAGGGTTTTTTAAGGTGATGCAGATTTATAAAATTTTAAAGAGCCCTACATGTTGCCTGAGAATCCTGAGAGCGTTTACAAAATTTGCGATAGGCATAAGTGTTGAAGGAGTATTCTCCAGTGAGCACTTGCAAACTGTTACTTTTATTGGACACAGCTGTTGCTGATTGTGGGTAGAAAAAGTGGTTGGTCGCTTGAATGCTATCTCATTGTCTTATAGCATTGCTTGTTGGACTTTTTTTATTATTAGCATAACAGCTGTTGGGGGGGTAGTGAATGAATATCACAGGTACAAAATATCACAGTGAACATCAGCATTCTACATTTGTTATAGCCAGGAGTGCCAAAAAAAATTAAATTTTTTTTTGCAAAACTTAGGAGCCAGACAGAGTTGTCTAGGAGTCGGTTTCAAGGGCTCAAGACATGAATGCATGGTTGAAAGAAAGTATCCCGTCCTCCCTTGTGTATTCTGCTCTTGTGTCCCATCACTCAGGCATTATATCGTGAGGTATGAGCACACCTAGGATGCATTGGCTGTGGACATGTGGACATGTTTAGGCAGTAGAAAGGGCCTTTTCGCCCTTCTCTGTCGCGTGTGTTGTGCCCTTTTTACTTTGTATCTCTCTCTCTTTCTGTGTGTCAGGCAGCGAGCCAGCAAAAAATCAGATAGAGTATGTGAAGTTAACTCTTTGTTTGGAGAAACATAGCCTGCTCAGGGGAGCCATGCCTAATGAGCACAGCAAGTCTTCTGAGTAGATCTTGCCCCTATAAGGCAGTTGTGGAGGCTGAAGACACCCACTTTCCCACAGCTACCCAAGCAATCTGAGACTATGCCAACGTGCCTGTCTCTGCTACTGCTTCTTCATACCACTTCTGGTCCTGGGAGACATGGAGGGAGGGGAGCTTGTTGGACCCATCTAGCTCAGTGTTGTCTACACTGACTGATAACGGGAGTCTTCATAACTGGGAGACATTTCTAGTCCTAGCTGGGACTAAATCTGGCTTTTGCATACAAAACAGATGCTCTACCACTGAGCAATGGAGGCTGCAAAAGTGCACTTTGTATTTAGCTGAGCACACATAGGTGCAGCACAAGATTGGGGCATCAAGGGAGTGAGGCCAGTGGTGCAAACTATGCTGGGGCATGGCTAGTTCTCCCTTACTCATGCATATATTGTATGCATGAATAATGTGTGCCTAGTGCCTCTGATTTCACCATAAAAGCCTTGTAAAGAAATGCAGAGTAGGAAAGAGGGCTTCATAGTTGTGGAGAGTGTTTTATCTCACTCAAAATCAAATTAAAATTTTGTTCCCAAGTGGACAATTTATTTTACCAGAGATATAAGACATTTTTGAGAACTGGAAATAAGGGAGAAGAGCTTAATGAAGAAGGCATACCAGGGAATTTCCTGAAAGAAAGTTTGCACTCAGCAGTTGCAGTAGAAATTTGGGACAAAGTTTCTTAAAACAATAGACCCATGTTTTTAAAGAAGCATTGCCATTACAAAGTGGAACCCATGCAAAGATGTATTGCGTGAAAACCATAATAATGCTAAGTAAAGTATCCCCCCCAACTTGCTGCCTGATCTCTGGGCCTTGTGCCAGAAAAGTAGTGCTGAGGAGGGACCATGCCTAAGAGCTTCTGAGTCTTTCTGTTCCCATGCAGCCACTTGGGGTGACTGAAAATTACTGATACCCACCAGTCACAAAATGGTGGCCGATGGAGCTGAAGTTTGATAGAATTGATTGGCAATAACAGTCACCCTTGTGCCCAGTCCCAATCCCTTTCTCTATTCATGCCTATGGACAGCTCTCATTCTAGCCTTGGACCCTAAAAAATAGCTTCTTCTTGCGATCCAGACAGCAAGATAGTTCTTCCTACTAATACAGGGATAGCCAGGACGGTTCTTTCTAAATCAGAAGTAGCCAATGTAGTGCTTTCCAGATCTTTTTGGACTCAAAACAGCAGCAGCTGGTAGGGCCTAGACCTGGTGAGGGCGGCCTGTGACCAAGGAGGTCCTGTAGGCTGGCCGAAGCTGTTCTCATTTTCTTCCCATCCTCCTCCCTTGCAAAGATGTGGAAACAAAAGCATTGCAGTTGTGTGAGTGCTTAGTGCCTAACTCAACTGAAAAGTGTCTAACTGATTTCTAGTTTGGGTCTGTGTCACAGTAACTATATATTTGTCAGAAATAATCCCCACCAAAATTCCATGAGGATGTCCCCTAGATAAGACTGGAGTTTGAATTGGTTGGTGGAAGGTGCCACACAGAACTATTAACAAGGTCCCACCACTAAACTTTCAGCCCAATGGAAAATGATTACAGCCCATCACCACCTTCTTTACTTCTATGGCTTTTTGCCAGAATGTGGAGGGATATTAAATAGACCAGATTGTAGGAGACCAGGGTTAAAATCACCACTCATCTATGAAACTCCCTAGACCACCGTGGGCTATTCACTGTCAGTCTATGTCTCAGGGTTGTGAGGATAAAATTTGGAAGAGGAGAGCCATAAATTCCATGAAAAGAAACGAGTCTCATTTGTTTTAATTGGTTCAACAAAAAATAGCTTGTCAAGGGAAGGTGGCAACATGAACAAGCCAGTTTTCTTGGGTTTGGTGTCTGCTCTGAAAGAAGCCTTTTTGAATTCAATGGTGCTTACTCTTATGTAAGCGGGGTTAATTTATTAACTGCATTTATATGACCTCTCATAACAGTTCTCTGGGCTTCTCGCAAAGCAAAGCAAAACAGTTAAAACTGGATGCACTATCACTGTGCATATCTAGGATTAGTATATTAGACAGAAGGAAGCTCTTAAATAGGTATGTTTGTTGCTTTGGAAACTGAAGAGTTATTGTCAGGTTAAGGGATAGCTAATGTTAAGGTAGGCATTTAGGTGAGCATGAGGATTAGCCAGAAAATTACATATTTTAAAAGCTTGGTTTAAACAGTAGGAGAAGCTCCTAGAGAGGCTAATCAGAATTTAATAGAGGAACACCTAGAAAGTTAAGATCTAATGAAAGATAAAGGGCACAGTTCCTCTAAAGTGAGATCATGCCTAGAAATGTTGATTGAATATTTTTACAAAGTTTATTTGAAAGCATTGAAAGAGGGTGCAACACACACAGTTTCCCTGGATTTGAAAAAGCTGTGGAGACAATACAAAAGAAAAGATTAATATGCAATATAAGTACTTAACAGCATTAAACTCCTTATAAAAACATTTATTTTGAAGACACACAAGATTTGCAGAATTTAACCGGAAAGGATTAATATTTTCTCTCCCAAGACCGCACTCAGAGGGAAGAAAAAAGGAAAGAATTAAGAATGAGTAGAAGAATCAACGGGTGATAAAGAAATATAGATAAAATTAGTTTTGAACAAAAGCGATAGATGTTCAGGCATCTATTTTGATACTCTCTTTTGAACATTCATGTGGAATGTTGGAGGGTATGTTTCTATATTCTCGACTATTTCCTTTATTTCAGCATGATTTGAACTTTTAGTGCCATATCAGTACTGTCAAACCGAAGCGTGGACCTGGACAGATTTTAAATGCAGAGGGCACAATTCGGCATAAAGTTAAGGACTTTAAGTACTTCCTAATTAAATGAGAGGGTTAATCATGTTCTTAGCTCTCTAACATTGAAATTGATGAGATTCAAAAGTACCTAACTTTAGCTCAATTGTGCACACATGATTTTACTGAAGTTTTCAAAAAGACTGTTTAATTCCTAATAAGGGTAGCTTCCACATGACCTGTTTATTGAACGTTCATCCTGATTTCTTTGCACAAGGTTTCATTGTGCCATCTGAATTTGCCGCTATGCAATTGAATCCCTATTGCAAAATTGCAACAGTCTGAAGGAACACTTTCGGAAATTTTTATCAGGAGGTCAGGCCCAAGGATGGGCTTGTATAGGGAGCATGTTCTAGCTGGAGAGTGGTGGCAGTGCTCTGGTGAAGAACGGGCAAACAAACTGTATGCTGGTGGTCTGGTGGCACAGAGGAAGGAACTGGTTTCCTCCCTCAGCGGCAAGTTCACCAAACCTGAGGAAAAGCCGCAGAACTGGGAGTTCTTCTATTAGACCACAGCACTGAATTGGCCTTCTAACATCACCTAACTTTTCAGGTCAGGAATATTATGAGCTGTTTTATGAACTGCTATAATTCAGCATTGGCTACCATCCCCAATGGTACAAGGAGTTAGCATCACAGTTGTATTTAAGGGGGAGAAAACCTTTATGCAGTTCTCTATATGAATTTTTAGGCTTGAGCCACATACCGCCGTATTTAGTGAGGAAATCCCATGGGCTGTTACGGATCTATGCCAGTCTCTTACTCGAGCTCCATAATAGTTTATAAGTCTACAATTAATTTTGGAAGGAGAGTTGTAGTCACAGTGTTTGAATTGGGGTTTTTTTTTATCTCTAACTTACAGAGTAAAGGCAAACTGCATACTTCTTTGGCAAATTTTGAATGAAGGATTGAGATGTGCATCATTAATTAGTAATACTTGTTTATAAGCCTAAACAAAGATATCACACTGTTACACACTTCGCACTTCCTCAAATAGTGAGAATTTCCAGGGGCAGTGCTACAGGGTTTAATTTCGTTTGAATGAGAGCACTGGAGACTTATGATGTCTTTGCAATATCTGTTCATTTACAAATATACAAGCAGAGCATATTAGAAGCAAACTGACACTCCCTCAGCAGGTAAGAATTCCACTAACCCCACATCTGATTCTCAGAGAGAGTGCTTGCAACCCAGGGGCGATTCACTTTCAGCCAACTCACTGCTCTCTGTTTGATTCTCTCTCAGTTCACTCTGCACACACCTTTCCTTCCCCCTCACACAAATGCCCCTACAGAGACCTGCTGTCAAGCCCCATCTCCTACAGATAAATTGCTCATTCAGGAAAAAAAATATCTCATGACCACTAGCTTCTGCTGATGAAACGCCAGCTTAACAGCCCCTGACTATTGGCAGGCAAGCAGCTTTGCAGAGTGGTCTTCTGGCTTCCACACCAAAGCTAACTTTATTGCTTTCGAAAGATACTGCCTGGGATCTTGATGGCATTGCTTCACCCTATATTGTAGTTTTCATTCTAGCTATATAGTATTCCTGATCAGGGCCTCTCTCCATGTGACAGCACAGATTCGGGTTGCGGAAGAGCTTCCTGGTTTTTCCTCTACCCGTATTTTTCCATGTTGCCCTTTAAACCAAACACATTTTTCTTAATGTACCTGCCTGATTTCTTTCATCCATGAGATACCTGCCAACCTACACACCCCAAATAATACGCATTTTCCAAAGCCGTCACTAAGCAAGAACACTCCCTGTACACTGCTTTGTGATCATGTTTGGTGAAAAGTGGTTTACGAATCTTGGAAGTAAATAAACACTAAAATTTACACTTGATAAAAATATTAATATATATTACCATTATATTTGACCTCTTTCCTTTCTTCAGCATGAGTTAGATAGCACCACTGCATGGAGAGACTAGCAACAAAATGAAAAGAAAACTACCATAGCAGTAGCTAGCACCCACTTCTTTTAGAAACTGATCCAACAGGCATTCAAATGAGAAGTGCACTGCTGATTTCAGAAGAAGTCAATCCTTTGCTGCTTTGTTAAAAGAGACAAAATGATGGAAATAAGAATGCTGTGTTTGCTTCTGCAAGGTTTGAATATGACAGCATTTTTGATCATTTAAAAATCTTAAGTTCGTTGACACAAGTCTAGTTAAGTACGTATATTGCTGACTTAATAAAAGTTGATAGTAACATTTTAGAAGCTCTTTGGAATCTAAAAAGAACCAGTGTTTGATCTAGCAGCAGAGACAAAAACAGTCTCTTGTTTTATGATAAAAGATGTCTGTGTTGATCTTCAAGTATGTCAGATCATTCTGAAGAGGCTAGTAAGAGCTGTGTTGTTGTTGTTTTTGTCAAGTGATTTTCCTTGCTATCATTAAGCTTCAAATAAAGTTGGGGGGGGGGAGAGCTTTGTACGTTGTGTCATTGTATTCATCCGTCATAATTTCTGTTGACAATTCTCGACATGCACTATGTTTTACTGTTCTAACGAGAGAAAAGACCAGCCATTAAGTTTACGTTTCTTTGTTTTTCAATAAAGTCACATATCAGGAGTAATGCTGGGGTATGCTAATAAGCCATATATAATGTTAGGCACCTGGGAGCAAGAAATATTTTCTAACTAGTTCTAAAGGGAAATAATGTTAAAAAAGGAAGAGTGATTGTTATATACGCAATGTGGGCTGGCCTACGTGTCAGTATCAAAAACATCTTTTAAGGAACTTGGCACAATAAATCTCTCAACCTTGATGGTTGTTATTTAAAAGTCTATTGTAGATGCAATTTTGCTACCTGGCATGTTCTGTTTTGGAGTCCCAGGTACCTGAAATACATTTTTCCTCATCTTGACATGTCTTATGTAGGAATGATGGTGAAATTTGCTACAAGCAGACCAAGCATCAAACTGATCCATAGTCCACTTTTCCACTCTTGTGAAGTAGGCTTGCTTGTAGTGACTTTCTGTTGATTTTCTGCTTAGAATAAAAAAATAAATAAATTATATGACAACATTTGTTCTGCTAAGATTCAGCTACCATCAGCGGCAACATCTGATCTTACCTGTCCTGCTAAAAGGGTACTGCTGAAATGTGCATTCACATTTACTTCTGTAATTGATTCACTGTTCAAGTGACTATTTTAGCCATTAACAACCATTAACATTCATTGTTTTATCATTAACGCATTTCTCATTTTTTCGTTCCTTGTGATTTTGCCAAACTCACAATGAAAGCACAGCCATTGTCTTACGTCTTAATGTGAAAATGTTATATTTATTAATGCAGCCAAAAATGGAATTCATCTGTATTTTGTGAGTGTTGAAATGTGAGCCTGATGCATATACTTTTTATAATAATATTACATTTTTTATTATAACACTATAATAATCTTTCTATCAGCAGTTAATACTTATTAGCTTTTGTCCATGCAAAAATAAAAACTGCATTCCCCACCACCACCCCGGTCAAAGTGTGTGGTGGGTTGTGGTGAAAATCATATGCACACCCTGCAAGCCATGCCTTGAGTGATGTGAACTGGGTTTTTTTAGGGTGCATGGGTAGGTGGATGAATCATAAGCACACGGTGCCCTAAAATCCAAATGAACAATAAATGAAATGGGTTACTGATTTGCTTGACAATTTAAGTTGTTAATGTGGTAGCTGGTTGACAAGGAAAAACCACAAACAACAGTAAGGGGACAGGGGCTTCATTGCCTTCTCATCTTCACTTGAACAGACAGTAACCTTGAGGCAAGATGCATCCTTCAGTGGGCTCACTGAGTTTTCAACCATCCCTGAGATCATCATAAAGAACGTAAACAATATTGTTATTTTTGAAAACCTAAGAACTGGACCAGGAATGGTTAAAAATAGCGAAGTGAGAACTGAAGTGAATTGGTACTGGTGATGAATCTCTTGAATTATAATCTGCACTGGCATCAAGTAATGGACTACATCCCTACAAGTGCCACCTTAAAGAGTAAATAAATGGTCCCCATCCATCGCCAAATTAAATTAAATTAAAGCTGGGTTTATTCTAAGGCACCAGTCTATCTAAAGATATTTCTACCTAAGTATTTGCCACTTGAAGCAAATGATATGAACTATTAAAATAAATTACTGTTGTTGTAAATGAGCAAGTATGCAGTTGAAAGATTTAGAAATATGAAGTTAATAGGGTATATATGCTATGGCAAATGAAGGTTGGTGGATCTTGATATTTACTTGCAATTCTTGAGATTTTAGGAGGCCCAGCCGGAAATGTCAGATGTTTGTGTCCCAGGGCTTATAAATGTCCTTCACTGGTAAATGATAGAAATGAGGATGAGATTTAGACATTTACGATGGAAATGAAGATGACATTTAGACATTTATTGAAGGCACTGAGTTAGCTTTGAGATTTACTGGTAAATGTAATTTTCTGAGATTTCCCTTTGGGATTTTTATGGGAATACTATAAATTACTCAGATATTGCACATTTCAGGTATTAAGGTTCTAGTTTTATAATCTTTGACTTGAACAGGAATGTGTTGCAGTAACTGTCATGAGCTCTGTGGTTGTTGACATTTACCAGTAATTCTTAAAACTGGACACAAGGTCAGAAGCAATGCCAGATCATGGTTTGGCGCTATGTGAATGAAAGTGGCAGGACTGCACTGATTTAAGATCAACAAGCTATGTCTCTTCAGTTTTAGCTAAATAGGGTAGATTCAGAATACAGGAATTTTGCTGTCAGGTACATAGCTTAAACCAGTGTGGCATAGTGATTTGAGTGTTAGTCTGGGACTTAGGAGACCAGAAACCCAGTCCCCACTCAGCCATGGAGCTCACTTTCTATGAAGAATATGCCATTGAATTGCACACATTTATAAAGGTTTCAGCATTTACAGATTACAAAGATGGTTTCTTCCACTCAACCTGTGCCCCAAACAAGCATACACCCCCTCTTTGGGAAAGATGATGAACTAATATTCAAATGAAACGCACTACAGTAAGAACGCATACATAAAAAGAAGTTACATGTCCCCTGTTAGCTGTTTGACTAGCAGCCATGTAAGGCTGGCAACAGCCACCGGGGGTCCTGACATTTGCTGGTCGGCTGGACATGCATTGTACTAATATAATGTCCTTCAAGGCTCCATCAGTCAGAGCAATCTAAGAGCAGGGTTGTGGATATTTGACACATTTTGTGCGTCTTACTGCAGCGTAGGAGCTGTGGTGTTAGAAAATGGTTTGGGGGCTTCCCAAGCGAAAAGAAATTGGCCATATTGAGATCGATCCTAATTCCCCCAGGAGGTTATGGAAATCCTAGATAAGAAGCAGAACAAGACACGCATTAACCTGGGCAGTCATGTGACATTGGATGAATATAATTTACCAAGCCATATCTCATAGCAATGTGCAATGACCGCTTGGTAAGCTGGTCATCTGGATTCGTTCTGCAGAGTATTGAGGAGAAACTTTCTCTGTTTGTCTTGATTTATGATCAAGTGAAGAAATGTGCTATGGGTTCTTTAATATTTGGGGAACCAATCCTTGTTACCAGCTGAATGTAAGAGACCACTGGCAACAGAACAACTTCTAAGCATTTAGAAATCTATAGCATGTCAGCTTGACTGAATCTTCACTGGTGTGCTAGTTTTCTTTGTGCAGATACCTTTTTAGATAGAAAAGCCTTTAAGTTGGAAGTTGAAGAAAAAGGTTTGCAAAATTGTATCCCCTTCTCTCTTTTTAAATGATGCATAAGTAGACTGCAGCGGATGTGACTTATGTCTAGTGGGCTGTAAGACTAGCAAAACAGGAGAAATGGGGAAGATATGGAAATAGAGCCTGATTCTATACTAATATTTATTATGTCCACATTTTTAGCTTGCTGAATTTTTTTTTACGTAATTGTTGTGAGAATTCATTTATGTGCATTTATTGCTTAATTAATACTTTCCCTTGTTCTTTCCTCTAGAAGAAGACCTATCAGTGCATCAAGTGCCAGATGGTTTTCTACAATGAGTGGGATATCCAGGTTCATGTTGCAAATCACATGATTGGTGAGTGAAGTACTAAATCTTGTTGATGATAGATAGACTCTCCTAGCTGTATTCTCATTGCCTGTAAATTTAAACAGAGTTAAGGAGAAATTAATTGTGCAACCGTCAATGATTTACCCAGGTGTGATAGATATCTTTTTTTAAAAAAAAATTATTAGGCCTAATAAAGCATTAGCATGTTTTATTTTCTGCAAGGGCTAGTTTAGACTTCTGCAGAGATTCATATACTACTGCCAGTCAAAACACAGGTGATTAACAAATTAAACTTCTAATCATTTTTGCATTATTGAAAACAACTAACAGGAATGGTTAATGAACTGGTTGTTAGCTTTCCACAGAGTTTTAGACAGGTTTTAATTTCAGAAGTTATTATGCTAATGACACTACCGAGTGCTGCTCAAGCACCTTGGTACCAACACCAGAATTTGTGAGTTTTGTCACGAAGAAGCGTAAATAATTCAAATGGCCATAAAACAGGGATATACATAGTATTTAAAAGCTTGAAAACAACCCAGAATGGTTCTCTACAAAATGAAATAATATATTTAATTGAGTCAAAGCTCAAGCACTGTTATTGATAGTATTTAGAGTCTACAGTCACAATTTCTAATGATAATTTGCTTTTATAATACGGCTGAAGTTAGGAAATACCATATGAAACACTGAGCATTTTCTTTGAATCATCATATTTTGCCATTATTTGCTTATTCCCCTGGGTTATATTTATGTTTTTAATTTGGTTACCACTTAGTAATAACACTAAGCGTTCTGCAAGCCAATTAAATTTATCAAGCACATCTTTTGCCTGCTAATAAAACAATATTGCCTTTTGTTACTGCCTATTTCTAAGAAATTCCTTTGGCAAAGAGCAGACATTAGAATCATTGGCTTTGTACTGCTACAGTATTTGTTTCAATGTCTTAGAAAAATGGGAACTTCTTGCAGAGAGATTCATATCAGCAGACAACTCTATAAATGCATGTTCATTTATTCAAAACCTATTTCCTTTGAGCTGTTTTACAAAGTTGCTTAATTTCTGGCTTGATGTTCTAAACTATTTTTTACATATGTTCTCATGTAGTTTTGTCATACTTATTAAAGGTTGTTGGTTAATTTAATATGCTTCTTCTCCAGCTGTTGTAGTTTAATTAAAAAAAAAACCTTTGGCTTCATCCTAAACATGCTTACTAGAGAGTAAATCATATTGAAGCCAAAGTATCTTAGAAACCTTAGAATCATAGTGTCAATGCATAAAAGTACAATTCAGTAAAACAAAATTTTCAGGAGTTAAATGTGAGCTTTAATTTTTTAAAAATTAATGTTCTGAAGTCAAAATAGAATTAAGAATGAGTCATATTATGTGTGTATCCATTAAAAAACAATTGCACTGGCAATATAAGCGAGAGATGGCCAAAGGAATTTAGTGTTTGTGCAAGGAAGTCCAAATGACATGATGATAAAAAAGTTAATAATAAGTAGCCCACTCAGTTATACTCAGAATAAACCCACTTAAATTAATGGACCTGTTAGTAATGCTCCTTAATTTCAGTAAGTAGGATGTATACTGGATATAAACTACCGTAACTTTCAGTTTGCTCCTCTTCAATGTGCCTCCAAGTCAGAGGCTTGAGGTGGCCTACTTCACCTTTGCTAAAATTAGGACCCACTCAGGTTGGCCCAGTGACCCAGTAGCAGGAATCACTGCTGCTGTATTACCAAGAATTTCATTCCTGGATAGGCCCTAGCAGGTTATGAACACTTCTTATGCAGCATGATTGTCAGGGACAATCCTGTCACGCTCAGTGTGTTTTCTTCCCAAAATTCCACACAATGGAAGGCAAGAAGCTTCAGAAAATCCTGCAAAGAAGCAATGCAAACACACAAAGCTTAGCAGAAATGATTTTGTAGATAACTGCAATTCCAGATTTAAAAGAATAAGGAGCAGGATGGAGAAGATGAATAATGTAGTAGTAGAGCTGGGCCTATCAGATGTTGTAGCAGCAATGGCTCACTCTCAGCTGATTCCCCCCCCCTGTTATTGATGGCAAGCTGACCATTCGGTAGTTACCTGGGTCTTCTCCCCCATCCCTTTTTGAAGATGGGGACAACATTTGCCTACCTTCAGTCTGCAGGGACCTCATCTGTTCTCCAAGAATTCTCAAAGGTTATAGACAGAGGCTTAGGGATTACATCCACAAGTTCCTTTAGCACCCTTAGGTGTAGCTCATCAGGCCCTGGATATTTGATTCATTTAAAGTAGCTGCGTGTTCCCTTATCACTTCTTTTCCTATCTTGGGCTGCAGCTGCCTCTTTGCATCGTTCATTCTGTTATCACCAGGTTGAGCTGTGCTTTCCTTTTGACTGAAGACAGAGGCAGAGTAGGGGTTGAGCAGCTCCACCATCTCACTGTCACCCAATAGCATTTCTCCATCTTCTCCAGGTAGAGGACCAACTACTGGTTCTTCTTCCTCTTGCTTCAAACATAGCCAAATAAACCTTTTAAAATTGCTTTTAACCTCTCTTACGAGTTTGATATCATTCTGAGCTTTGGCCTTCGCGACCTTCTCCCTCCAACTGATGGCTACTCATGAACAGTGTTAAATTAGTGTCCCATAGTTCCTTGCATGCAGCAGCAGGCTGTAGCACAGAATTAAAAGCATTAGTTTGGTACATGTGGCTGGTACTGGATTTGGGAGTGCATAAAGTATAATCAGTTTAGCTCAAAAAGTCTAGGAAACATTGTTCTGTGGCACTGCTTTCTGAAATGCACCAGAACATTAAGGAGCAGAAGTCATTTTGCCCGTCGTTGCGCTTATACATAGTTATTTTGGGGGGATGATTTAGAAAACTTCAACTGGAATGAAAATAGTACGAATTTATAGCTGAAAATAGTTAGAACTTACAGCTGAAAATAGTTTGTTGGGAGCTGCAAAAAGAATCATAAACACACAGAGACAACTCTTCCCATTTTTTCAGCTGGATCTCAATGTTTGGTTATTTTTAATGAGGTATTCAGCAAGCAACAGATAAAGAACGTTTGACAATGAGAAGTTTGTCACTTCTTTGTGTGGGCAAGGGATTATTCTGGAATGTCACATAGTCTCCTAGGGTATGTTTACTTGCCTCCCACTTTTCACCTGCCTATAATCATTTGGTAGAGAACAAGGATGTTTTCTTCTATAGCAGGTAAAGCTAGACCAGGCCAGATTGCAATGTGACTTGATAGAGGGTAAATCAGAATTGAGTGAACATTGGAAGTTGCTTCTGTTGTTACAAATTTTGTTCATGGGAGTCACTCTCATTGTAACTTCAGGAGAATTTGTGCCTATTTGCTAGAAACTGGTGTGCTAAGGCACTTTTAGGATTCTTGTCATAGCCAGATCTGATGAGTAGACATAGTTAAAATGTTTTTCCAGCAGTAAGGATTTTCATTGCAAGAGTAAGTTGTGAAAACAAAAAATGCTAATGTTGAAAATGGCCCCACATACCTTATAGTCTTAAAAGTTTGATAATATAGAATGGGAAAAAGGTGCTTTCCCCTGGCTGATTGTCATGCATGATATTGCTTCATGCCATAACCATAGTGACACAGATTTATGTGGGCTTGCTATAAAAACATTCCAGAAAGCAGGGTGGGGGAGATTCTATCACACAAAGCACAGTGTGATTTGCAGAACATGCTTTGATAATCTGTATTTACTGTAAGTAATGCTGGATGTCAGTGTTTGAGATGCATCCCTGATTAAAAACACTCATATTGCATCTTGAGTAAGAAGGATGTGGAAGAATTAACAACCTGTAATAGTTCTATTTTGGAGAGTGTATGAAAACCTGAATACAGGAAAATGAGTTTTTAGTGATTTTATATGCTATATCCACATGGTACTATCTGTTTGTTTGTTTGTTTGTTGTTTGTTTGTTTGTTTGTTTGTTTGCTCGCTCTCTGCCACCATTACTTTTCCACCGCCACCACTGGCTCTTCTTTCCTTACATTATTTTACATTTCTGGGGCATTACCAAGATTACACTAGAATTAAAAGAGTGCTGCCAACAGGTCTATCACTAAACATTAACTAATGAAAAAGAGGGATATATGTGATTTAATATATATGACACACAATACTGTCATATTAATATAGGTAAATGAAAACACAACAGGCAAGTCCATATATTGTTTCTGGGATCAGCTGGGTCTATAAATGTTATTTTAGCACATTAACTGGTAATAAAGTTTATATCAGCAAACGAGAAAGAAAAACACAACGGGTTGCATCCAACGTTGCCATTCTGCTTCCTCAATGGAAGTTCCCCCTCCTTTCCTCACCCCTGCAGAATGTCCTGCAGCCCTCTGGAGCTGTACTGAGGATGCATGGTGAGAAGAAACGAAGGGGGAACCCAAAGTCTCTGGTTAAAAAAATGCCATCCTAATTACTGAGTGGGCTGCTGACATGTCACACCCATGTAGAGTTGAGAGTTTCTAGACTTCTGGCTTCTGTTTGTTTGTTTGTTAATCTTTCCACTAGTTCTCTAAACTATGCTTTTGTAATGTGGTTTGTATCAACTCCTTCAAGGACCTCAGATCAACCTTCTAGGCTGCCTGATGCTAAGTCCAAAGAGCTTTTTTTCAGCTAAGCAGAGTTTTGAACCTGGGTCTCTCACATCCAGAATATGTGATCTAGTCACTCTGTTACATTGACTCTTAAGTACAGCATATTAATGAGCATTCTATTTAGTCATGGCAAAGTAACCTGTCAGCACAAATGGTCTACAGGGTAGATGGGGAATGTGAGCTTATCGCTTAAGAGGGGTGCAGAGTGGTTGAGAACACTGACTTTAATATAATTTAGAACAAACCAGGTAGAAGAACCTTCTGGAGAACCTTCCAAAAAAGACTGTTATAATGGCAGACCTCGCACCAGCTGTCTTACAGGGTTGAGGGCACCCAGGGCTCAGAAGACTCCTCATCATCAGAACCTGCCTATAACGCCATTTACCACTGTCCCCTCATATTGGCAGTGGGTGGGCAGCAATACAGCTTGACAGGACCCAAGTTCAGGTCCATCTGCAATGGCCACCTGCTGTTTGAAGTTACCCAAATTGTAATGCTTCAGCCCAAAGATATATGAAATCAACAGTGTTGATACTTCTTTCAAAATCAGAAGTGGTATAAATAAGAAGAGAGTTAGTGTGATTTAGTGGTTAGAGTGTCAGAGTAGGACCTGGAAGACCCAAGTTTCAAGTCCCTACTCGGCCATGAAGCTCACTGGGTGACCCTGGGCCAGTCACTGAGACTCAGCCTAACATACTTCACAGGGTTGTTGTGGGAATTAAACAAGATGAGGGAGAACCATGTGTGCCACCTTGAGCTCACTGGAGAAAAAGGTGGGATATAAATGCAATCAATCAACCAATCAATCAATCAGTCAATCAATCAATCAATTATATACATTGTCTACATAAATTAATTACTTTGCATTTTGGATAAATGAAGGTGGTGAACAGCCTTCATATCTAGGGGGCCAAGATTGGCTTACATTTAAAATGGCACCTCTGTCCACCAGCTGTTAAAATGCTCCCTGGAGGCCCAGCAGTGATGTTGCTGCTACTGCAGTGTCAATGGCAGCAGAAGCTAAAAAATAAAAAATGAAATGCAACAGCATTGTTGTATTCAGGTTGCCTGTGTTGGGCAGCACCATGTCAAAGGCCCTGCATAACAGTAATATCTAAAAGGAAGAAACAGCACATTCTGCATTGTGTCGTAATATATAGAATAGTGCAATGGCATAACAAAAATGCAGAGGCATAACAAACCTTTCAGATTCCTTTTTCTTTATGGTTTAACTTTTGATCTTCCTCCACTACACTGCTACCCATGTATGCAACTTGTTCTCCTAAGGGTGTGCAGTTCCCACATGGGCAAAAAAAAGGGAGACTTACATTCCAGGGAACAAACAAAATGTTTCCCTTTTCAAGCTCAGAGAAATAAGGGAAGACAGCATGGCTGCCTTGAGGACACTTATTTTGGAATGATCGGTTATAAGGATAAAAAGGTTTTATAAGCAATAAGTGCAAAGAAGGAAATAGTGTCATAGAGGAATGGAAGAATTGGAACCAGGAGAGAATGCAAATAATGCTAATTTCCAACATTCAGGAGATAAATAGCCAACTTATCAAACGCTCACTGGAGAAATTGTTCAGGAAAGGGCTGAGAATCATGGTGAAGGTGTTGATGGAAAAACATACTTATGCCTTCCTCAGTGTGGGCTCTTACCAAGGAGCCAAAACAAGGAAGCACAGGCTCTAAGCGACTGGAGGCCCATAGTTCAAATCCATCTCAGTCCTGTACTCATTGGGTGGCCTTAGGCAACATATTTCCATCAGCCTCTGCACCTCTCCCTACTGTCTGTAACATGGGGTTATAATGCTGCCCTTCTGTAAAGATTTAATTTGACGTTTACTGTGATAATGTATGGGAAATCCTTTGAGAACTTGGGAGAAAGTGCTATGTACAAATAAAAAATCTACAATTAAGCTGTAGCATTTGGATTTTAATGTGAAGTCAGTGCTGCTTAATCACTTTAAATCCAAGTGCATTATCTTCCCAGCATACTGTGAACTGCTTTATTCTTTCAAACAAGATAGGCAATATTTTTTGTTGGCAAAAATGTGGCTGGTGGAAGAATTATTTTGGGGTGTGTGTGTGTATTTTTATTTAAAATATTTAGCCCACTCTATTCAAGATGGTGTATAATAAACAGTTTAAAACCATCACAAGCGTTTAATAATTGCAATCATACAATAAAGCAAGATAACATAAAACAGATTATTAGAGCAACAGCCTCTAAGACACAGCCAACTACATCTTAGTACCCCATCTAAGTACACAACATCTTGTAAATGCCTGAATGAATAACCATGATTTCAGCAGGCATTAGAAGCAAAAAGACACCCAAAAATGAAAATGCAGTATCTTGCCTGTTGACCAGTGGTTCCCACACTTTCCCCCATGTACCACTTGAACATCGCTGAGGCCCTTGGCAGACCACTGCCAGTTGTAGCATTTGTAATGCACCACTCTGGATGCTGTGTGATTTTAATTATATTTTATATATTGCATCGTATTGCATTGTATTACAAAGTCCATTGATTTCAGTGGGTCTGCTCTCAATATGGCTTAGTTCAATGGAACCCTTAAACTACTTCTGTTATGCAGAACTCCAAATTAGCCTGTATTTTCCCCATGCAGTTTATGCAAATCTTATTTGCACCCATGTTCCATTGATTTATATGATTTGAAGACTATTCCACATTCTACGACTCAAGTTACTTCAAGACAGAAATAAGCATATTTAAATCAATGATATTTACTCCATGTGATTTTTCAAAGTGAAATGCCACAATACTGCTTATATAAGGTCATTTTAATGTAAGAATGCTGTAATAATATCAGTTCTGCAGTAATCCTACCATGTCCTGAATTTTCAGTAAGCACACTCCCATTTGTTCAATTTTGCTTGTGGTTCCAAGCCAGTGTTATTTATCTATTTGTGCAGAAAGTTTTTGTTGTTGTTTTTTCTTTTAAAAAAGATGCTTCATCTAAGTGAGAGTTCAGGCATAGGCAGAAGCATGGGTAGGTAAACTAAGGCCCAGGGGCCGGATCCGGTCCAATCGCCTTCTAAATCCGGCCCGCGGACGGTCCGGGAATCGGTGTGTTTTTACATGAGTAGAATGTGTGCTTTTATTTAAAATGCATCTCTGGGTTATTTGTGGAGCATAGGAATTCGTTCATCCCCCCCCAAAAAAAAATATAGCCCGCCCCCCCACCCAAGGTCTGAGGGACAGTGGACTGACCCCCTGCTGAAAAAGTTTGCTGACCCCTGGGCAGAAGTGTTTATTTTTTAACTGATTTTTTTTAATTGGAAAAAGGTAGATCAGTGACTTTTACTTTATATCCCACCCCCACCCCCCGCAACTTCCCTCTTATGCCCTATCTCCTTACTACACTGAGATGAAATGGATGAGAATCAAACCCCTGCCTTTTTAATGCAGTGAAAGGAATCTTTCCATATAAAGTTATGAGATCCAACAATTGAAGTGCAACTTTGTAAGTGCTCAGAATAAAGCCCTATTAGGCATCGGATAATGCAAAGTGATATTGCCAGGAACTATTTTGTGAAGGCTTAATTTTTTTCAGTCTGATAATTTTTGACCAATAATTACCAACTGCCAATTAGCCTTTTTTAGTCAGAAGGAAAGCTCCAGCACCATGAAGGCTGGCATTGTAGCCAGCACATGAATCTCCAAAGAGCCACAGACAACTGTTTCATAAAATGCAGCGAGCAAAATTGCAAGCCGCTGGCTGTGCACAACCGAGAAGCACATTTACAACTGAGGGCTGATCAGACTGACAAAGGGAATGATAAAAGGGGATGGGGAAGTCACAGACTTTGAGATTCTCTGCTGCTTGTATTGACTATCAAAACCAACCTATGGTCCTATAAGCAATAAAAATTTTGAAGAGAAAGTTTGGGTGATGAGATATGCTGAGCTTTTTTTAAAATAACTTTATCCCATCCCTTCCACATTCCTTCCCTTTGTATAAGTAATTTGTGCGTGTCTGTATTTATATCAGTAGATATAAAACAGTTGCATTAATAGCATGTTCACTTGGCCATCAATATTTTTTCAATGTAATCATTAATGTTTGCTTTAAGTTGTAAGCTAAAATCTGAACATCATTTTATACCAATTTATCAGTAGCAGATGGCAAGGTGGAGCAGTGACACGCCCCTGACCTCCAATTGGTTGTGTTGGAATGCAGAGGGGGAGACAAGGTCTAAATCTAGAACTGGATTGGGTCTGCTGGTGCATTTGCACCATACTGACCTTGCTTCCTCCTCTGCCCCCCTCCTCTATCTCCTGGTAAGTAGCAGCGACAGAGCTTGCCAGAGGTCAAGTGAGTGCCATCACTCTGCCATACCACTGTAGATTAAGTAGCTAGAGCGCTTTCAGATACGGTGGGAGCTACAGCCTGTTTGGCAGCAAATACTTAATGTTTTTAAGAAGTAAAATAAGTTTTGCAAAAGGAAGCAGTGTATCACTCAAGACCCACTAGTGGTTCCAATAGGGACCTTCCTGGTTACTCATTGGCTGAGCTCAGACATATCAGGAACGCATTGCTTCCCATTACAAGAACAACCATATATGAGACTCAGGGTCTCATACTCCTGCTTCATGTGTGTCGAGAAGAGACTGAAAGCTTTAGCCAGCACTTTAGACCTAACTGTAATTACTCATGATGCCCAAACTCAAGGAACTGTGGTTTATCAAACTGTGGAATATCAAACCATATATTTTTCCAAGCCATAATTTAAGCAAAACACAGCTCCCTGAGTTTCAGTGTAGTAGGGACCTGTGGTTAATTTGAAACTGAGAGCAGAAATTTTGAGCTCATGTACGTTAATGAAGGAGTCAGGGAACAGCATGAACTTGAACTTATAAGGGGAAACCATGGTGGGTTAACCATGGTTTCTTTTTATTCCTGAACTGTGCCAATGGCTCAAGACACTGCCAATATAAAAATACTATAATCTGGGTTCTCTACTGTCTTGCATTCAATAGACATATGACACAGCAAAATAATGTTTGACACCTATTGGATAAACCAGTTTAATAAAAATACAATATAACGATGAAACTATAACATCTTCTAGGATCCCAAGAGCAAATTTTTCATTAGCTATTAATGTGTAACAGTATCTCACAAATGAGAACATATACACAAATATGCTTATGATTTTGTCTCCTTATCTACTCATCGGTCCATGTGTGAATATCATTAACCATGGATAAACTTAAAGCTGAAACCAGCTCCTTGACCCAATGTATCTCTTTGAAAAACCAAGTCCAAAGTTCTCCCACTGCAGTTCATCACTGCTCTTTCTTGGCCCTATATAATTTGTTTTGCTCAGTCATAGGTTTGTCCTGGCCTGTTTTGGGCAATTCCCCGAAAGAATGCATGAAAAATTCAAATGTAAAATTTAAGCACCTTGTAGTTATTCTTACCATTAAATATGCATTTTTCAAAGCATTTCCCCTAAAACGTGCATTTTATACATTGCTTTATACAAAATATATCTTTTGGGGTGCACTGCATCCAGGGAAATGAATAATCCTACTGACAATTGCATTCTGATTCAGGTCAGTCTGCTCTGAAAAGCAGACTGAACGGATTCCTCCCACATCCTTACATGTACGTTATATTTACTCCCCCGCCCTCAAACTTCTCACATTGCTGAATTGCTTCTGCTGTTTTCTTTCATGAAAGAGATTAGTCAAACATAAAATTCAATTATCACACTTTTTAAAAAATATGTATTTGATTTGTTTCCTTTCCTTCACATTTCTAACACACTCCATGTTTAACAGACATGGCATGCTTTTTCACAAGGCAAATAAAAGCGCTCATTTTTGCAGCCGCGCATGGTGTCACTCACTGGAGGGATTCCATGCCTGCTAGAAGAGAGAGAGAGAGAGAATGAATCTGGATCTTTGCATGGTTAGGCTGAGGGGCCTGATGGACGGTCAAACCCGATGAGTATGTGCTTACCCATCATGGCCTTGCCTGTTTAGCTATAAAGTAGGGTAGACTAAAATAAATACCAGGGAGAGGAGTGAAACACACACACCCTACTCTCCCCTTAATCCGCCACTTTCTCCTGCTTTGAGCTGATTCTCCCAGCCTGGGCTCTGAATCTAAGACTGACCTGGCAAATGTAAAGCATGATACGCTCCCCTATCCCATGCGGTCCTTTTTAGTATAGAATGGTAACCCACCAAGCCCCGCTTTATAGCTGAAAACATGTGCTTAAAAAACATGAACACATATTGTTTGGTCCTGAAGAGCAAGGCAAAATGGTAACTCAGAAAAGCAAGGTGAGGTCAGTTGCTGAAGGTTTGGACAGGTAAAGCAGGTGTGGGAAAAAGGGCTTGTGGGATGGAAAAGCTTGGGTGTGGAAGCAGAATGAGGGGAAAGTGCTTTCTTTCATAGAGGAAAGCTTGTTACAGGAAGCACTAGCATGCAAGAGACTTAGGCTGGTCCCTCCATCCCCACTTGGGTCTGTCCTATGGCATCAGGAAGAATGATTTTTTAGGATGAAGAAATCATCCTAAGAGTTGCAGACTCCCCTTTCTGGACAGAGAGCTAGGAGACTAGGGGGTAACTTCCACTTTCCACCTGGAGTCATTTTTTCAACCTCAGCACACCAACATACAGGTATATGTTTCTCCAGTTCGGTGTAGACAAGGTTTCCCTTGCTTTTCAAGTTAGACTGAATGGGGGGGGGGGGAGCTGTGTTGAGTGAGCTAGACTTACTTAGGTCCAGCTTAGTCTTCATCTGTGGTCTCTAAGTGCCTGTAACAAATTCCTATCTGCCTTTAGTCTCTATTTTTATTCAGTGTGTCTTAGCTCCCAAATAATATAACTTGCAGAATTTAAAACAAAACAAAACATGTGTGTGTATACTTTCAAATTTGTTAGATTCTGTGCCAAGGAAAGAGGATTGTTTTATACCAGCCAGTTATGTACACTTTTAGATATACTGGATTATGCCCACTTATAAATTGACTATGGTACAAAGTGGTAAAATGGATACTGTACCTATTAAATGAATAGAGTTTGAGGTAAAAGAGTAGAAACTCTATATATTGCTTTTAACATGGGAAAGTTACTTATGTGTTGCATTTTTATACAAATTGTTTGCATAACGTTTCCAAAAATGTAATAGTAACATTAGGGATATAGGTGTAAAATCCACAATTCAAGATTGGGTTTTAAATTAGGTTCATTTTTGGTTTATTTCATGAGAAGAAGCTGAGGAGAAAAGAAGATGAAATCTGCTTTGTTTAATACTAACAGAAAGCTACCCTCATGTGGGCAATGCTGGCGTATTTGAAAAGCTCATAAAGGGTTTCTACATGGACCATACAAAAGGGATACTTTCTCTTTAATAGCCATCTGTACAGGAGAGATGAGAAGTGGGCCAGGTCATCTCTCCTCAGCTGTCATGATATTAACGTAGGTAATGGAGCAAGCTCTCTGTTCTGCTGGGTGTTGTTTTTCATAGATGTTCATCGATTTACAGATAATTCTATTTATTTCTTATAGTTGGTCCAAGCAAACCAGGCAGAATATCAAACACCAAAGCCTTTTGAATGACTTTATCTTTGTTGATTTGCAATGTAACTTTTGTCTAAAAAATGGTGTTACACCTACTGTGCAGATGGCTGCATGATTTGTAAGCCAGCCAAAACATTTAAACAAATGTGTGATCTGGGGATAGATTAAATAAAGGATAAAATGGAATGTGGACCACAAATTCTAATAATCAGATGATTCTAAGTTCTGTGTAGTGTGGAGAGACAGTTGCACTGATAGCAAGGAACGCTTGCCAATGACAGCAAGGTGCCGAACAGATCACAGGATGGAGCCTGTGGCCTAGTAGGCCTCAGTTTGCGAGCTGCACATTTGCTGTACAGCTGGCAGCTCTGTGTGGGGACATCAGATAAAACTTACGTAAAATGAAGTGTTACTGCCTAGTATGAATTCGTGCAAAGAGGGAATTTGCAGACTGTAACTGAAAAGCAGATTCAGAGTACCAATGAAGCAGACAGTAAATATGAATAGGTTTTAATTATCTGCACAATTTAACCAAAAATAATTGCAAAATGAGCTCAAAAAGGGCAAGCACCATTTTTTTTTTAACACTCTGCATTTTAAAATCTTTTGCCACCCTGAAAGCCCTATTTTCTTACTGCCTACTGGAGGAGAATTCTTGCACGTACTTTGATTATAAAAATGTCTTTTCCACCTTTGCAACTGATTCAGGGATCAAAGGCATTATTTTGTAAAAAAAAAAAATTGTTGTTTATAGACAGCTTTGATTTCACCTGAAATCTTGATGCTAGTGGAATAAAAAAAGCTGAAAACAAACGATTTTTTCTTTATACATTTTCCTCGATTTTCTTTTAGTTAATACAGATCATTTGTGAATCTAACCTATTTATCATTGATGCTTCCAGAGATATGTGTCAATAAATCCTCATGTTTGCTTCATATGCACAAATATAAAGTGCCTATGAAACTAATAAAAATACATATATCATTCCTTTATCTACAAATAAAATGAAAATCCATTTATAAGCACCCCAAACATTTCTAGGGTAGTATCTGACTAAGTCATACTCAGTCATACTCAGATATGTTGAAATCAGTAGATTCAGCTAGTCATGATTAATTTAAGTCCATTGATTTCAATGTCTTTACACTAGTACAACTTAGCAGGATACCACCCTTAAGATGTAAAAAACCACATTTTTATACATTTTTATACATATTAAAAAGATTGCTATGGTTGTTTGTTTTTTGAAGACATAAAAACTTCAACCCCTCACTGTTTAAAAAGAAACAATAAAGAAATTCCCACATATTATTAATTATGGGCTTTTTAAGGATACCCTCCAAATCCACTAACTCCAGAAGCCCCCTTAAAATCAGAGGGTAGTAAATTGTTTGTGGATCTTTGTCATTAGGAGTCAATTGCCATTTTCAAATGACTGTTTTATTTGTACTTTTATATACACTTGATTCAATCTGTTGTACAAGTACAAATTCCATTTTCTATTTTTAAATGTTTAGTTAACTGAAGTAACTAACTACTGTAAACGAGTAGTCTAAGGGAAGTTGCACCTGTAGTACAAGAATCTCTTAAGTTACAATAAACAGGGTTCTGTGTGGTGACATAGTTATTATAAGACATTCAAGGGTACTGAGTCAGCTTTCCTCTTTGTTCCTTCCTTCCTGCAAGTTGTTTATACTACAGGTTCCCAGGACATATTTTTGCAGGGTTCTTTTGAAAATTAATTATGCAGAATGTATATTTTAGAAAATGCAAACAAATTCTCTTTCAAGGCAAAAAAAATTAAACCTGCCTTAATATTTGTGTTGCAGGTAATTTTTAAATTGCTTGTTGTTCCTGAGGTCCAGTAAATGCTTTCTATGGAAGAAAAACAGGGCAGAGAGGGAGAGGGAGCGCGTGTTCAACTTCAGCTGCTCATATTGCTGCATTTGGTTAGCTAACGGGGTTTCGTAGGTCACCTTTAGAATTTTATGCCTATGACAGCAGTAGCTACCTGCCAAGATTGTGAGGCATCTCACAGCTCTCAGGATGGAGCTTGTGGCCTGGTAGGCCGCAGTTGGAGGGGTACACATTTGCTGTACAGCTGGCGGCACTGTATGGGGCAGCAGTGTGGGCTGTTAGGGAGCTGGAAAGGAGACAAGCATGAAATTTCTTCTAACCCCAACTCTGTTTTTCTATACTGTTGGCTGCTTCTCAGTTCCTTGACAAAAAAACCAATCAGGCACCCTTTAATCCGCCTGTGATTACCAGTGGTATAAAAAGAGAAGCATAATGAGGAAAAATGCCTCGTTTTGTTGCCTTCAAAAGCCAACAAATTGGAGTTAACTTGACAGGAAGTGGCTTAATAATTAGATTATTTATTTATTCCTGACACATATCCCCCTGTTACTAGTCTCAGGAGACCCTGTAGATGGTACGATTTTCAAGCTGCCATTACTTCGCTGTCTTCTGTGAACAAAGAAGCTACTGTCTATCAGTCAATTAAATGCACTCTTTAAGCAGAGGCTGAGAAGTCCTCAATGGATAGAGCCCTGGGACATTGTGGCTGATGATTCCTTTCTCTGTACTGTACATCACACTCTCAACTACGGTCCCCACAGAGATGGAATAAAGTCATGCATTAAAATATCACTTGTTGATTTGTTTGCTAATGAAGAGCCATTGAAATGTTTGTGTATTTCTGTGGCAAAACTGTTGATAAAAGGACTACTTGCTTGCATATCTTACTTTGTCTTTAGGAAGCACTTATTTAAGGTTTGCTAAAATTAAGATCAACAAATTAAGGGGGGAAACCCAGAGAGACACGGATAATGTGGGTTTACTTGTTACGCACGCCAAAGTAAATAGCACCAAGGACTGCAAGGGAGGGGAAAGGAGGATAATAGCACTTCAGGTCTCTGTGTTACAGCCCTCTATATTAGTCAAGGTGCAACTCTTTCCATACCCACCCTAAATATTTTCTGCTAGTACAGCAAGTGCACACTTACTGTCTATTAGGACTAAAACAGATAATGACCCATAAGTTTAAGGATCCTGGGTTTTTTCCTCTCTTTTATTTTGTATCTATAGTTACTTTGGGGCAGCTACTGCGGTGGGGGGAGGCACTCTGAAATTGATCGGAGCAGTAGAACTGGGGGAGAAAGGATTAATGCTACACCCAGAGCTGTTTCCTAGGCCTACCCTCCCCATAGTTGCTCTGAATCCCTGGCACTCCTTCTGTTGTACCTTTTCTTAGCATGGCTCATATCAGATCTAGAAAATTGTGTGTGAATATAATATAGATTCCTCTTGCCGTGCCATTGCTCTGATCAAAACATTAATTTCCCTGAAGGTAGCTTAATGGTTTCAAAAAGAAACTTGGGATATTGAATCCCAGCTCTTGTGCATCAAGCCTATTTTGGCCCAGAAAATACGTATACAGTATATAAATGAAGATATGACATAGAAAGAGTCTAGGTGGATTAGGCCAAGGGCCCCTCATGGTCCAGCATCCTGTGGCTAAACAGATGCCCTTGGGAAACTCACAAGCAAGATCTGAGTGCAGTAGCATTCTCTGCAATTGTGACTTTGAGCAAGTGCTATTCAATGGCACGCTGTCTCCAACAACAGAACATGTATTGTTTTCCATTAGAAAACTACTTTACATTATTTCAGTTCATATAAAGTTATTTTTTTTTATCATTACTAGTTCTTCATAGTCAGATTTTTGTGCAACGTATAGCCTTTTAGGTTGTTTATATGACTCCCTGTGACAATATAGACACTAAACCAAAATGAGGAGAAAAGACAAGCATTTGGTGGATGTAAAATAATTGAACCCCAGAATCTTGCAACCATTGGAGCAGGGATTAGACAGTTGTGTTATATATACAATTGCTGTGATTAAGCTTTGGAGTAATGTTTTCAGATGCTTACATTGCTACATTGCTCTAAACTTCATAGGAAAATCAGCCTGCTTGGATTAGTGTATTGCTGATTAATTGGAAAAATAATTGGTAATATGCTGCCTAATGGCTACACGTCTTTTTTCAGAGGTGTGTACTTGCATTAGGAATTTTGGTGATGGTTCTTAGAATATTTTGTTTACACAGGGCAGACATTTTGACACACATATAGGCATCAAGCTGGAGGGTCCAAGTATGAGACAAAGAGGAAATGTTATGCATCTACTTCTTCCCTCACCTTTGATTTCCCTCAGGGCAGTTTCCTAAGCTGTATCACAAAATAACGTACATATTGAAATATAACTTCCATAGCATT